TTAGAACATTATCTCTTTCTCAAAGCATTTTCTTGTACTCCCTCTGTTTTAAAACAATGGACCTTTTGTTGTTTGGGAAGTCAAGATTTTTTTTAAATCATATTGTTTGCAAATAAATTTTAAATAATTTGAATTGTTGACTATTGTGATTTATAATACTCTATGAAATTTCTAAACTAGTAAATTTTATTTCAAAAAATTTAAAGAATTTATTTCTGAATTCACACCGAAAATTAGTCAATTTGATCCTCGTACTCCAAAAAAGATCAAACACATTAAAACGAAGGGAGTATATATTAAAATACTGGGGTTGAGCTAGTGTGTAACATGCGAGTTTAGTCGAAACTTTAATCCAAATTTTATAATTGTCTTAAAGAATTTATTTAATAAGTGTAAATTATTAATGTAGAATATAATCTATATTATTATAAAAGCACGAATCTAATGTTGGTTTACAGAAATAACCTTATAATATTAAGAATAATAAGTCACAATAGATGGTCATAACCGGAATTGTACCTGTTAGTCATGTAATCCTATTAGTTTTAGGACATACTTCTTACGGGAATCCCAGACATTAGCTATACAATTCTATTACTTTTAGGATCCTATTCCTAATTCTTAACACCTCGAAAATTTTGCTAAATCAATTTATTTGTAAATATGTTGGTTTGATAATATAGTTAAAGAAAGTTTGTGAATTTGAGGAAACTTAATGGGAATTAACTGAGAAAAAAGGCTAAACAGTATGTAGTCTACTAATCCACAATTTTGGTTTAGTTTCAAGTCCAAATCCTAATATCAATTGCAAAACAATATATATATAACTTATTTTCTGTTTGAGACTTGCCACATTGTCGTGTAATTCTATTATGTTTTAGGAATTCTATGTGCCACATTGCCACATAAACATGTAATGCTTTTACTTTTAGGGCATATTTCTTTAAAAAAATCTTTTTATTAATTTAATTGGAGAACGTATTAAATTGTACGAATTCATTTTTTTTTAAAAAGAGCCAAATACTTCTACATATTAGTTTTTAGCTTTGGTCCTGGTGTAAAAATACAGGGTAAAATTAAAAATAACCAGATTTACAAGTAGAAATTGAAAAATAGCCACAGTTTTAAAAATAATCGCAATTTAGCCACTTTTCATGTAAAGATAAATCTGAACGAAAATACTATTCAAAATCCGAAAAATATTCTAGCATAATATATTGGAGTTCCAGTATATTATACTGGACTTCCAGCATAATATGCTGGAAGTTCATACACAGGTGTTCCAATCTCCAGTATATTATGCTGGAACTTTCCGTGTATTTTACCCAGGTGCACCAATCTCCAGTATATTATGCTGGAACTTTCTGTGTTGCAGTAAAATAGCGGCTATTTTTCAATGATTTTGCAAATGCTGGCTATTTTTTAATTACCAGTCCGAAAACTGATTAGTCGTGCTATTTTCAAAAAAATACAATATCAAAATTCTGCAAACATTACAATGCTACAAACTTTGCAAAAGGTATTATTTCTTTCTATATTATACTCTTTTTATTGTACTTATCAACCAAGTTTTCTTGCTTTAGCTTATGTATTTATATGTTATTCCTAAGACTAAAAATCAACCGTGTAGGTAATATATTCCTCAATTGTTACTTGTTTCCTTCAATTTTATCAACTACATTATTTTTCAAAGAATTTATTCAAGATGATTCATATAAATAGTTATTGGATGTATATATTCAATAGATAGTTTTATTGAATTCTATCAGTATGAGATCAAACTATTTTTCTCTTTTCTACTTGGCTTAAATATTATACTCTTATTTAATTAGTTGTTGGTTTGTGTTCGCCTATTAATTAAGCCAGTTATTAATATTCTATCCGTTTTATTAAAGTGATGTACTAGATTAGGCTGCCAGGCTTTTGTAGATCATTTGAGTCTTTTTCAAGAAGCTCTTTTTCTAATAAACATTGATTACATTTCTTTATGTTATTTATACCAATAAGAAACATGTTTTAGGAAGTTTAGTCATTTACTTTGTGTTAAAATAAAGGGATAAATAATTTTTTTACTTTGTCTTAAAATAGTTAATGATATCATAAATGACTCATGTACAATTGCAAGGGTAAAAGATTTCAAAATATTTCAAAATAAGTTTACGTCCTTTTCAAATGCGTAAAACCATCATAAATAGCTTATCTATAATTGTGAATTTAAAAACTTTAAAATAATTTTACGTCCTTTTCGAATGTGTAAAATCCAATAAATACTTATATTTATATGCATGATTTATATTCTAGATTCAATGTACAAATAATAAACTATATAAATAGAGATGATCTATGGTATTCTTCTTGAAAAAAATACTACAAGAAGGTATATGATGAAAATAAAATTGCTAATTGCAATAATTGTATGATAAGAGATATCGATTGCGAGGAAGATAAACATATAAAAAATCTTTCAATTCCTTTTATTCCTTTATTAAATAAATATGTTTCTAATGTAACCATATAATAATTTGTACATACTGTTTAAAACTTGAGTTGTTCAATGACAAATGATGTTACACTCTTTGATGCTATAAATACTTGCCAGGCTGTGATGTTAAAGAGTATACAAATTAATTTCTAAAAAAGTTATCATTTTTCAATTTTATTTTTAATAAACTAAATATATAATTTGATGACAAATTGGATCTTCAGCTAACAATAAGGACAAATACAACATTTAGTGATTTCTCATTACGTGTCAGAAATGAAAAAGAACATACAATAAAAAATGATTTGGTCCTTTTTCCAGAACAATTGATTATCAAGCACATTGACGATATTAGTTGTGAAGATCTCTTAACAAGGAAAATATTCCATCACTAAATGAAAATGGAAGTTGTGCAAAGTACATGTCACTAAGTTTTTAATTCCTTTTGACAGTTAAAGGCCTTTAGTTTTCTTTTACGTGGTTTTTGTTTATTTTATGGCTTTATGGTGCATTAGCTTTTTCTTTTTTTAATGGTAGGTGATTTTAACTGGAGTTGAATATATTATTATTAATTTAAAAATAAACTTTCACTGCGTACATGTTGGTTTTGAAGCAAAATAAATTCATCATGTTACCGAGAAACTTAATTTCGTCAAATAGCTTATGCAATGGTATAAGAATGGTACATAGAGGTTTTGACAACACTATTATACATGCAGAAATCGTGATATGTCAATGTACTTTCAAGCCTGTGTTCATCTTTAGAATTCAACTTTCACATCCAGAAAATTTATCGAACGTTTGTGTTTTGTAATGACAATAAGAAAAGCACAAGGGCAAATAATTCCAAATATTTAACTGTATATGCGGCAACATATTTTCTCATACGAATAATTATATGATGCACTTTTAAGAGGAATATCAATATTCACAACAATTTTCTGGTCATGACAGAGCACCAAAGCATATGAAGGGAACATATATAAAGAACATTGTCTACAAAGAAGAGTTAAGATAGTTATAAGTATGAATAATATTATCTAACTACCATATAGCCTGTTTGACCAAAGTTTTTTTTGGGCCAAAAGTGTTTTGTTTGGCCAAAAGCATTTTTGGCCAAAAATAGACATGTTTGGCCAAGCTTTTAGAAGAAAAAAAAGTGCTTTTGAAAAGAAACAGAAGCAATTTTTGAGAAGAATAAAAAAGTAGTTTCTCTCCAAAAGCACTTTTCTGAGAAGTACTTTTGAGAAAAATACACTTAGAAGCAATTTTCAAAAGCCAGGTCAAACACTAATTAATGTTCAAAAGTGCTTTTCAAATTAATTAGCCAAACATAAATTGCTTCTCACCAAAAGCACTTTTCTAAAAAATACTTTTGAGAAAAACACTTCTCAAAATAAGCTGATTTTAGAAGCTTGGTCAAACAGACTATAAATTGATTATTTTGCAGGTTCAAATGACAATATTCAATCATTTTGAAATAAGGTCTTATGCTAATGTAATGATCTTTTTGGCATTTAAATTATTGTTGTATTGTATATAATTCTCTCGTTACTTAAATATTATGTTCCTTTATAAAAATAATTCCCTAAACCATTACGTGCAACTTTTAACGCATAGAAACTAGTAACATAAAAGTACTAGAACCAAAAAACATAAAATTCAAATCTAGGCTTTGCCTCAGAACCCAACCCCCATCCCAACACGCCAACACAACCTCCTTCAGACCCAGTTCATGTCAACCAAATTTTTGACAATTCCCCTGCTTCCCTCACTATCCCCTCTCCACGACCTTTCCAAACCCAATGTTATTACACGGCTACACTTATTCCCAACCCACTTCTGTATCAAATTACCATATAATTCCTTTCCGTACATACTACTTCATCCGTTTTAATTTATGTGAACTTATTTTATTTTTAATCCGTATTAAAAAGAATGATTTTTTTCCTTATTTGGAAACAATTTATTTTTATGTAATGATTTATAGTCACACAAAATATATGTGCATCATTTTACACCACAAGTTCAAAAGTCTTTTATCTTTTCTTAAATTTCATACCCAGTCAAATGAGTTCACATAAATTGAAACAGAGGGAGTATAAAATTTAAGAATGTCACACGAATAACATATGATTAAAATAACTCATAAAATAATTTTCTAATCATGTTAAGCACCCTATTCTTACCCCAAAAGTACGTGTTATAACATTTCCAACTTGTCGACCTTCGACCAAATATACTTTCTTCAATTACTTCCAACCCTCTTGATACTTGTTATACATAATCTTAAATACTTGTAGCACAACCAATTTTTTTTAATGGAAAGAGATTATATGGTAATTGAATTCTTTGGAAAAAAGTTAACCCCCTTTTCTTAAGGAATAAGGTTTTCTTCTCCTATAAATAAAAGACTCCTTTCCCAATTATATCAGTTCTTGAGAATAAGAATCTCTACGATTTTCTGTCTTTCGTACTATTTTACAAAGTCATACATATACTCGTATATTTATAAAATGTTAAGATCATTTGACTTTTCTCTTCCTTATTTTTACCAAGTCTTGAGATAGTAGTTGAATCAGACGACCTATTTGACGATTCTTCCAGCCTGCCAATTGCCATTCCACGCACGACTTCAATTTCTCAACCCGCGTCTTCTTCTTCTTCTTCCTTCCTTCCTCTTTCTCTTCCACCCTTACAAAACCTCCTCCATATTATTCCAATTCACCAACTTCCGAAAACCCAAATCCCATCTCAAAATGAATGATCTATTTTCAGGATCTTTCTCTCGTTTCAGAGCTGACGATCAATCGGACTCTCACGCCATAGAAATGGGAGACATTACTGGCGGAGTCAATCTCGACAAATTCTTCGAAGATGTTGAAGCCATTAAAGACGAACTCAAAGGCCTCGAGAAAATCTATTCCCAACTCCAATCTTCCCATGAAAAAAGCAAGACTCTTCACAACGCTAAAGCCGTTAAAGATCTAAGATCCAACATGGATAATGACGTTTCCATGGCATTGAAGAAAGCCAAATTCATCAAAGTTCGTCTCGAAGCCTTAGACAGATCAAATGCAGCGAATCGAAGCCTCCCTGGATGTGGACCCGGAAGTTCATCTGACAGGACGAGAACTTCAGTTGTGAACGGATTAAGGAAGAAACTTCAAGAGTCAATGAATCAGTTCAACGAGCTAAGGCAAAAGATGGCATCTGAATATAGGGAAACAGTTCAACGACGATATTATACCGTCACAGGAGAAAATCCTGATGAAGCAGTTCTTGATACACTCATATCTACAGGTAATATATTTGAGTTGTATTTGACATAATAGTATTATACTCCTTCCGTCCCAATTTGTTTGATATTTCGGTTTCAACCTATTAGATCAAATCAACAAATACATCATAACTCAAATCATTTAAACTTGGACGAATTAAATACCCGACCCGTTAGATCACATCAATAAACGAGTTACAACTCAACCTATTTAAACTTGGAGGAATTGAACAGGTTACTCAAAAATGAGTTTGATTTTGACTCCACAGGTCAAAGTGAGACGTTCTTGCAAAAGGCAATTCAAGAGCAAGGGAGAGGACAAGTGATGGATACAGTTATGGAAATTCAAGAAAGGCATGAAGCTGTGAAGGAATTGGAGAGGAATTTGAAAGAATTGCATCAAGTATTCTTGGACATGGCTGTTTTGGTTGAAAGTCAAGGAGCTCAACTTGATGATATTGAGAGCCAAGTGAATAGGGCTAATTCCTTCGTTAGAGGGGGTGCTCAGCAACTGCAAGTGGCAAGGAAGCACCAGAAGAACACTAGAAAATGGACTTGTTTTGCTATTATTCTTCTGCTTATCATCATTTTGGTGGTGGTTCTTTCTATTCAGCCATGGAAAAAATGAGAATTTGTCTATGGTCAAAGGTCTTCTGGTGGACCCCTTCAATGTTTTGAATATTCTAAATTTTTATATTTTATTATTTTAGCCATGCTTATTATTTTGTGTTATTTTGGATTTTTTTTTTGTTTTTAATGTGGGGAAGAGTAAACTGGATGGGGGTCCATGTGCTATTTAGAGAAATACTTGGGAGTTCTCTTTTTGTAATTATTGCTGTATTTAGAGTATAATTCTTTTTCTATATTGTTGGCAGGTTAATTTGTTTGTTTGATTATATTCTCATTTAGATTTAAGTTATGCTTCTCTTGTTTAGGTTGGGTTTTTCTAAATTGATGTTTCTCAACATTTTGCCTCACTTGGATTTAAGTCATGCTTCTCGGGTAACTTATCTTAGATTTTGCAAAATTGACTTGAACTATTGATTTGATGCGGTTTATTGGTTTCTTTCGTAAATCCTATGAAAAATTATGAAGTGTCTAGGAGATAGAGGTACAAAGTTGTTACTTGTTTTATGGATAGAGTAGACTGTAACAATAATTATTAAGAAAATGTATGAGATCTAATATAAGACAATATGCAAAATGATATTTGAATGATATATAAAATGGATGCTTCCAATCATGAGTTAGTAGAATAAAGGTAAAAATGGGTCATCAAATGTCCAATCAGACGTAGAAAATTTCAATGGAAGGAATAGGTCACCAGAACAATTTCTTTAGGTATCTATCTTAGTTACTCGCCTTCCATGAATATGAACGGCAAATGGTTGTTTGTATACAGAATGGTTTCGAGTCATAAACAGGAAATATTAGGGTCAAACTGTAACATCTTCTACCCGCCGCCAAAAGGCGGCTCTACAAAAAGAAAAAAAGGACCCTCGAATCACCTGCTTCAGATGGATTCACAAGATATTTCAATTCTCAAATTGTGCGTTCAGATATGATTCCTTCAACAGATAATGTGGTAGGATGGATAAGATCTTTTACCTTAATCGCTTCGATATGAAGAAATTTTTAATAAGAAAATTAGCTGAATCAATGAGTGCTAGATACACAATAGTTATAAAATATTAGGAATATAACGTATAGATGAGGTTGGTCGGTCAACTTCTAATCAGTATTGATAGTCGACTTGATGGCTTTAAATTGCGGAATTTCTACAAACCAATCTTCAATCATTTATGGTAATCTCCTCGTTGGACTAAAGAGAAAAACCTTCATACCGACTTTTGGGTTGACAAAGTAAAATATCGTACAAGGTAATTCGTTATCGAAAATATCATTCTTCTAATTGGAATAAAACAAAAAGAAATTCGGTTATTTGCCCCTTTTATTTCTCATGTTTTAACACATTTAATAAAATTTTAGCAAGAATGAGTCAATATTAGCAAAAGTTATGTATCTGATATTCTGATTAATTCATATATTCCCGTTGACTTGTTATCAAAATATGTTTAAGAGCCCGTTACATGGTCATCGTGATGAGAGTGCCACCGTTAACAGAACTGGAATGTGCAGGTATTTTAGAATTTTAAATCAAGTTCATGGAATCACGGATACTGTTTCTCTTTTAACAAACTGAACTTATTTAATAAGACAAACCAACTACCTACTGGAATGTCTTAGAGTAAATTAATAGTTACAGGAAATCAATTCAAGAAAATTAAAGGAAGCTTAGGGTGTGTTTGGTAGGAAGGAAAATGTTTTCCTAGAAAATGAGTGGTTTTATGACTAATTTTTCCTTGTTTGATTGATGAGTGGAAAACTTTTTCCGAAAAATATTTCCTAGTGTTTGGTTAGAGAGTAGAATTTTTTTTAGAAAAATATTTTCCCTTTTCTTGATAGGGCAAATATTTTCCTCCAATTGGAGGAAAATAAGTTCATGAAGAAATGTTTTCCAAACTATTAAGCCAACTAAACATAGGAAAATTGAAAAACATTTTCCGGAAAATGTTTTCCTTCGTACCAAACACACCCTTAGTTCCAACTTACATTTACTATTTCCTAAAAAATAACCACTTACGTAGAAGCGTTAGGAGAGCCCCCGAAAAAACATTAGAATTTTTTTCCCAACAGATACATACTAATTAAAATGAGAAAGATAATATTGTTCATCATATAATAAGGAAGCAAGAAACCCTATAGTTAATTGAGCAGAAATATGTGTAAAATTTTGATTTACAATTATAATTTACTGCAGACAATCAGAAATAAAATTTTAAAATATAGAATGAGTATGATATAAGGAAATATAAAGTAGCTGAATATATGAGCATTGAGCATTTTGCATGAGTATCTCTATTGATTCAAGCGATGAGTTATATTACAATCAAAATACATTTGGTAACTGTGCATTTTGAAAATGCACAGGCAATGTAGCAACACAGCTTACCTGCATCAAGTGACAGACCAATAGCAGACAATAACTGGTGCAAAAAGAAGCCGAGGCTGCGAGAAGGTTACATAAGCTGGAAAAAGCATGTCTTCACCGCATATAAAACTCTACATTACTCCAAATGGCTGATTCTGTTATGAATCTTGGTGATCTTATGAGCTGAGACTAGAAAGTAATTCATTGTTCTCAGAATCATTTTCAGGACTTGTTTCGACAACTGATGGAGAAGATAGGGGAGCTTTCTGCCCAGCCACATTTAGTCGCAACGGCCGTCCTTCAAGTTCCTAATTGCATTATAAAACTGTGAGAAACAAGGATATGCCAAAAGGTCTCCAAGATACTTCATCACTATGTATCCTTACCACTTCATTCATGGTATCAAGTGCAGATTTCATTGCTTCAGCAGAAGAAAATGTAATGAACCCAAAACCTCGAGATCTTCCAGAGGACCTGTCATAGATGACTTTTGCACTCATGAATCCGGGCTGGTCAGCAAAAGCATCTCTTAGACCTTGAGAAGTGAGGGCCCAGCTAAGATTTGCAACGTATAATTTGTGAGGGCTATCTACAAAACCTTGATAGGTGCTTCTTATCTTTGCACTCATTACTTCCCTTTCACCTCCTCTTGGAACCTCAGGGAAATTCACCTTGACCGTACGACCTCCAACTTGCTGTTAAGCATTTCACCACAAATAGCAAGGAAAGAGAAAAGAGGGGCAATGTAAGAAAAGAGTACATTGGACAGTTCTCCGACTAAATCAATACGACAAACAAACTGGTCACAAAGGACAAATACAGATTACTTCAAACTTTTGTAATGGCTTCCATATTGATTATTGATATACTGACTTTATTAAGTAGAGACATGTCACATCTTTCTCATTTGATAATCATCTAGCAGGTAAACATTGGACTTTTGGTCTTTGCAAAGAATTCATACGATTCCTGTTTGTTTCCCATATCATGTGAACAGTTGTGTCCTCAATTTAACCTTTTCTCTAGGCACCAAGGAGAGCATGTGAGAATTCGTGCATCAACGAGTGCAATAACCCTCTGAAACTGATACGGCCAGATGACAAGTAATGGCTATAATCTATTTTGTGGATGATTTTCGAGCTGTGAACATCAGTTGCTCTCTATGCCATATTTCAGAGCGTTTAGTAAGCTTCAGAGTGCATTCTGTAAAACTGTAGTAAAAATGTCTTACACAGCCCGATTACTAGCTTTGTCAAACTTGACTGATTACTAGTTTATTCCTCTTTTCTCCCCAGAAAGAGGGAAAAAAAGGATACCTTATAGAAGTTACAGATACCAAGAAACAAAAAGGACCCAAGCTACATATTACACAGAGAAGAAATCTATCTAGCAGTTGTTACATATTTAGAACACTGATATGCCTTTACCATAAATTGAAGTAGTAGGAAAATAATTAACTACATTTTTTAATAGATGCATAGGTAAAAACATCCATCATTCAGATGAGCAATGAATGACAAGGAGACAAAACATGTTTTCTTATCGAGACAAAGTTCAAGGGGAGCCTTGGAGCAACGGTTAAGTTGTCTCCGTGTGATTAATGCTTGCATTACGGTAGATTATCTACATTACACCCCTTGGCTTGCGGCCCTTCCCCGGACCTTGCGTGAATGCAGGATGTTTTGGATACTGGGCTACCCTTTTACAAAGTTTTCAAGATAGGCGAATAACACACCATCTTAATTATATTCCTAATGATTGACTATCAAAATTTAACAGGGGTATTACTATTTTTTGGCATCCCAGACAAATAAGTTCTTTTTGACAGCTTAGCAATGCATAAAAGAGTCCTTGCAATAAAATGATGAGCGGAGTGTAAACTTACAGATCCATCAAACAAGCGAATTGCTTCCTTTGCCTCTTCAACACTTCCCATCGTAACAAATGCAAATCCACGACTCCTATCTGTAACTCTGTCATAAACAATCTATAAATCCATGAAGAAAAAGAACAATGAGTTTCACTTTATCATATATTCTAAAAAAGAATATGACATCCATCAGAAGTCGAACTAAAGTACAAACAAGATTGATACTTGGAAATCATGAGCCCAGTTTCAACTACAGCTACGTTAATCTACTCAATGCGAAAAGTCTTCTTTCAGTTATAATCCACAATAACAAACCAATTTTCTCTGGCATCAAGATAAAAAAAAAAAAAAAAAAAAAAAAAAAAAAAAAAAAAAAAAAAAAAAAAAAAAAAACCCTCTACTTTATCTCAAATGATTTAAGGATTTGAATTACGTCATCTACATTAGTCTTGCCCGTCTCAAAAATCAATTCAGAATGTCAATGCTATGAGATTTTGTTACATAATTAGTAAAAAGTTGATAAATAGCAGACAAGAGCAATCAACATTTACAACTTCTATGACTACCATATTCCACTTAGCATTCTAGGCATGAGTTCATCCGAACCTAGATTGTGGCTTGGATCTTGTATATGTGTTGAAAAATTTTCTTTAGTACAAATAATTGATCTCGAACCATGTAAATCATATAAGTTGTGGTAGAATCCCGAATGCAAATCCATAAAGTTCAAATCTTGGATCCGACTTTGATGCCACCTATCTTTATGTCCAACCATACCCCAAAAACTGACCTATATAATAGTTCTTTAAGGTAAATCATTTTTCAACAATGACAGATATTTTGCATCTTAGCAGAGGCACCTGCTCAACTGACAATTAGTCTTAATTACCAATCTCAATGATCAATGTTAGAGTTCATAGTAATAGGATTGCGTTGCCTAATCAGTAAAATAATTGGAACTTCAGTACATGAACAGAAAAGAGCCAAAGAAGAAAATTAAAAAGAATCCAATCAAAGCAACAAAAACTCAA